TTAAAATGCTGCTACTGCGTTAAACACACAAATTATTTATGGAGAGAGCAGTGGAGAAGGAGCGTGTGGTGAGAATATCAGATTTTCACCTCCTCGTCGCCTCCTCTCCTCACACAGGCCCGTCTCATTCTATAGCCGTAGCCGGGCACCGACGGCTGCCACTACCTGACACTTCCTCCGCTCACACACACGGTGACTTCTCCACGTGGATCGTCAGGCAACGGAGGTGGAATTCTGCTCATGTGATCGATACTTCCTACTGAGATGTATTTAGTGTTTGTTAAAAGCTATTACCACCAGCATACATGTGTGCATATACATATTAATATATGTATGTTTATACATGTATATATATATATTAAAAACAAATATATATATACATATATGTAAATATATTTACATACATATATACACATATATAAAAAACAAATATATACAAATATGCATATGTATACACATAAAATACAATACAAATATATATATATATACATATATGTAAATATATACATACATATATACAAATATATATTGATACATATATACATATGCACACCCAGACATATATATAAACATACACATATATATAGACATATATATATATATACACATAAAATACAATACAAATATATATATATATATATTGTTGCTCTACTACCAACTAAAAACACTGTATTATTTTCACACTGAGTTAAAGAGTCTTTGTTTTAACGAAGCTCCTCGAGCCTCAAATCACCTGAGTCTAGTCTGGTTACAGAGATGGTAATCTGGTATACGTTTCACACTTTTTATTTTCCCACACCAGGGCAGCATCAGCTGATCACTGCAGCAGCAGCAGCAGCAGCAGCAGCAGCAGCAGCATCTCTTTATCTGTCAGATTCATAATTACTGTCCAACCAAACTGTTAGAAAAACCAGCCTGTGTTTTAAGCCACTTCTCATCACAATCATAACAGTACACAGTTATTCGGGTGTTTCCCTAGGTTACCGTCCACTTCCTGTCATGATCTATGATTTGTGATGATAACACACGAAAAAATTAAAAAGTTCAAGTTTTTAAAACTTTTTTTTTCTCTTCATATCAAACAAACCGTCTGATATCACGAAGGTTTTTTTTAACGAAGGTTTCCTCGTTCTTTAACGACCAGATTAACATTAACTCCTGCCTGAAGTTGTTAATATCGTTACAGTACACATTAATAATTCGCACTGGGACTTTGACATGTAATTAATTAATTAATTTCCATGTATATTTAACCACACCTTTCACAGTTTCCTTATCTCTGGCACACTGGCAACACTGATGCACACAACCCAGCCCAGTAGGTGGCAGTATGGCAGCTAAAGGTGGGTTTTTTTTTTGTTTTTTTGCTTTCACTAATGGGTAATAGCGCCCCCTGTTGCAGTTCTTTGATGGTAAAGAAACTGAGGCTAAATTAATTTTGTTATAATTTTTTTTTTACCAGATAATAGATTATATATTTATAGGGATCCTACCACCTTTACACTCACGTGTGTGTGTGAATTCAGTGCGTTGGTTTAACCTTGGTTCAGATTTGCATGTTTTGATGGAAACAAAAACACAGATCTCTCACACACACACACACACACGCACCAAGAATATGCAAAATCCACAGCGTTACAAACAAGACAATCTGTTTGGAAATTCAGCAATCCCACATGCTCCACGCCTCCGACGGCACACACACACACACACACACACAACCACTCCCAGCATGCAATGCGAAAGAATGAAGGATGGAGGAGAAAAGAGAGCGAGAGTGTGGACCAGTGAGCGTACGCAGCGTTGAGCGGGACAAACAAACGCGCTGGTTGCGTTGACGTAGGCTGTGATAAGACTGTTCCATGTGACGCAACCGTCGGTGTGAAACCCCACAGGCTGGGTATTTTTAGGACCCAGGCTTTAACCTCTCACATCCACACAACAACGCTGGTCATTGTTGGACGCCGTAGAACAAACAGAGACGGAGAGGAGACCAAAGACTAAGAACAGACATAAGTGTGTGTGTGTGTGTGTGTGATCGGCCTTCAGGACGTGACACGTACAAATCACACAACTACGGTTGTTATTTGTCCGGACTGGAGGTTCGGCGTAGCGATGATGGTGGTATTCTGAGACTCTCAGGATCGTTGGAGCCACCACGCTCCTCCACCGTAATAACAGCTACAGTGTCTCCACAGCTATTCTAACAAACATTCAAGGGCAGAGGCGTCAGCCAGAACAAAGCATTGGATGGCATGTGTATGTGGGTGTGAGAGTTTGAGGGGAGGGGGGAGAGGGGGAGGTGGAGGGAGGGAGGGAGGGCGTCTGGGTGGATCACACACAACTGTGTACTGAACGTCGGGCTAATTGATTTCAGCTGAGGAGCCTGAGAATAAGTGACACTGGCAGACGGATCAAAAGGATAAACATACTGACAGTCAGTTAGTGTCGCTATTGAATACAACGCTCCTGACGTTAGCTACAACATTCCTAGTACAGACGCCAGAGCTAATATTAGCTACAACAATGATGGTACAGCCGCCAGAGCTAACATTAGCTACAACAACGGTGGTGCAGACGCCAGAGTTAACATTAGCTACAACAGTGCTAGTCCAGATACCAGAGCTAATATTAGCTACAACGAAATACAAATGTATTTATATATATATGTCCATGTGCAATTAGACTCCTGACATGTAGCTCAGCCTGCTTACAGCTCTATTGCGCAATACTTCAATTATTGTCATTATCGATGGTTCACTAATAATGGGCCGGACCAACCAGTTTTAACCAGTTCCAAATGTGATTCTGAGAAAGCAGAAGAGAAGGCAGCAGCTGTCGACCAAGAAGAAACCTAAGAAGAAAAAAAATACTACAAATATATGAAAAATATATGAAAGAAGACGCTACAGCTGCCTTGATATAAAACATCAGTCCATAACTTATTAACAGTGTCTGGTCACTCAATGTTTTAAGTTTTAAGAAATAAAGAATTCCACAAAAACACTGCGACACAGATGAGCACTACGACTACGTAGCACATTCAAGTTTGACACTGGACCAATCACAAATTTCAAGTTAGATTTGATCCTTCTGACATGACTAATATTTACGTTTGTCAAATTAAAATTCTTACTCCCAGGGTAGGTCTAATCCAGAGGAATCAACGCTCACAAAAAAATATTTTTCTGTAAATCACTGGGTCAGTGTCATTCTGCCCAAATGTGTCCTGATCAGCAATAATAGTTTACTTTTTTTAATAATCGCCTACATTCAGGTAGCCATAAAAAAATAAGGGGCGCTGCTCGTTTACATCACAGCTCATGTAATCAGTAATCATCAACTGGAAACTCACAAAGGGTTAATGAGTTACTAGAGAAAAAGGAAATGCTCCGACGCGAGCATGAGGCCGTGATTGATGATGCAGTTTTACTGTGTCACACTGCACACAGACGACCTTAGGAATACACAGCATCGCTGGGCCGCGGCTATCTCATGACATCCATTCACCAAATGATGGCAAACAATGCTGCAGCCTGTGATGGATTGTCCTCTGGTACAACACGCGTGAAAGTACGCGGTTCCCACGAATCCTGAAACAAGACCTCTGCTTGGTTTTCAACAAAAAAAAAATTAATAATAATAAAAAAAAGTTGTTCTGAGACTGAGGACGGAGCGGCTGTGAGGACGCTCTCCGCTCCCGTCCCACACGTACGTCCTCACTCTTTTTGTTTTTATTTTATTTCAACAGTCTTCTCATTCTAACTTTTTTTTTTTTTACCTGAAGCCGATTCTGTAAAAGCAGCTTTCGCAGCCAACATGATGTGCCGACCAGCACCCCCCCACCCCACCAACTCCCCCCCCCTTCGGCCATGTTGGTCCATCACCCCACCCTTGAGGAAAAGTACAAAGCGTCCCTTGTGTGAGAGCACAGAGACCTGAGTGATACTGCTTTATATCATGGTATTCTCCCACTGTCAAACAACAACAACAACACACACACACACACACACACACACAGAGGAGGCAGTCGGGCCAAAGGCGGCTCACGTAGCCCACTGACCTTCAGCGAGCCCCTTGGTCCTTGGCATTGCACACACACGCACACGCACACGCACACCCAGAGCCACAATAAGCGCCGTGATAAATATACATTTAAAGTAAGGCAGACAAACAAGTCCAAACCCAAATGACTTTTAGTACCGTTTTCTGACAATCAACTCATGGTGGTTTTGGTGATTTGACCATGGAACAAAAAAAAAACAAAGATTGAGGAAACAGGAAGTTGACAGGAAGTCAAATAATATGCATAATATGTGGCCTTTAAATGAAACCGAGAGATGGTGACCTAGTTCATACAGTCTGTGCACGGCACTAACAACGTTAGCAAGAAGCTAACTCTGTTTGACCTGTCTGACAGGAACTACGTTTGGAGGAGACATTAGACTCAGGCTCCACACTGAACTCTGAGTGACAGTCTGTGACGGAGTTACATAATATCAGTTATTACATAACAGGTAATGACAACATGACATCAGCACAGGTAACACACAGGTAACACACAGGTAACACACAGGTAACACACAGGTAACACACAGGTAACACACAGGTAACACACAGGTAACACACAGGTAACACACAGGTAACACACAGGTAACACACAGGTAACACACAGGTAACACACAGGTCAAAGTGTGTAGCCGTGGTGTTAGCTGCTGGTTCTGTCACCCATCAACAGTTTGAATTCACCTAAATATAAGGAAAGTGTGCGAAAAAAAAATTGAGACTGGGTTTCTTTATTTTGGTGTATTATGGTAATCTTATATCTAACTACTGTAGGGGAAGGGGATGGTTTTCACAGTGCAGACTACAACTACTAATACACTTTGAAAATGTTTGAAAAACATCTTGCTGTATTTGTCGATAAGAAATGAGAAACTAAAATGTGAAAATATCAGCAGGACAGAAGACCACGTGAGAAAATCTAAAGGCGTCCTCACCTGTTTCCAGAGGAACTCGTCTTCCTGGTTGATCTGCCACGTGGTGACCACGTGGATGACGGACAGCACGGCTCCACTCAGCACCGCCGCCCTCATCCTCACGGGCAGCAGCGTGTAGATGATGTAGATGAAGAACACGGACCACCATATGCCCTCGGAGGCGCTCCTCGGCGCCACCATAATCACTCCAAACACCTGCACCGACACCAGGACCCCGATCACCAGGTAGCTGACCATCCACATGTAGTCCTGGTGGAAGCCGTTGCGGTTGCAGATCACCATGAGAGCCAGGAACAGGGCCATGGCCACGGAGAGCGCCGAGGAGTAGGCCACGTGAGGAGCAGCGTGGACACAGTGGAAGGTCAGCATGATGCCGCACACCAACACCAGCACCCCCATGAGCATCGTGAGGGAGCTCTGGTTCAGCCGAAAGAAGTAACGCTGGTACAGGCGCTCCAGTTTCCGGGACTGGAATTTTTTGGACTGGAAAACCCGTACCACCCTCAGCCAGCAGTCTGCAGCCGTTACCACCCCTGCTCCGCCGTTGGGACCCTCGTTGGCTACGTCCCCGCTCCCTCCTTTGCACCCGCCTTTCCTCCCCTTCAGCTCGCCGTCCTCGAAGCCCAGAGCGACCGACTTCAGGCCGACGCCTTCCCCAGAAGTTCCTCCTCTTTTGCCGTAGTGATCCTCCTGCCAACCACAACGCACGCCAAAGTTGCCTCCGCCGCCCACGGCCCCTGCCACCCCTCCACGGTGGTGCTGATGGAGGGGGGCTCCACAGGGGGGCTCCATAGCATCTGGATCCCGCAGGCAGCTCATGTAACGCGGGTTGCAGAGAGATGAGCCTCCCTTCCGTTTGGACTTCTTGCCATTTCGCTCCCCCCAGGCGGTCTTTCGGTCATCTACTCTGGCAACTAGGAAACCACTGAACCAGGACATTCTGTGGAAGCAGACAAACTGTCAGCTGAGAAGAAGAAGGCCACGCACCGACGTCAGCTGACATCAGCTCTGGACTCAGGTCTGTGGAAAGACTCAGTGTTATTTATGAGTCCGTCTCCTCTCCGCTGCTCCTACCTGTTGGGGTTCTGGTACATGTCCCAGACCTTTTCCTTGCAGCCGGTTCACACATTTATTCTCCTGAAGTAAGTGTTGAAGACGTGAGGCGGGCTGTGGAGAGGCCACACAGTAGCACTGCAGGGCGGCAGTGACTGGCTGGGTCAAGACGGTCGCCGGTCTCCTCACAGCTCCAGATGTTTGAGCCAGAGTTAATGAGAAGAGTCTTCAGCTCCTGGCCTTCGTCCACCACCTCTGCTGGGTCTGGGAGAGAAGGACACAGAGAACAGTTTAGGAACAAAACAAAACAAAAAAACCACAGCAGTGCCCTGCTGCTGTGACAACTTCTTAACACTAGTGGGACCAGTTTAGGTGATATGAGACAAATCACTGAAGAATAAAAAAGTTGACCGTGTGGTAATAAGAGGGGGAGTTAGAAACCTCTCAGACAGATTTAAAAACATTTTCTCCGTCTCCTCCTTGTTTCAGTCTGCTCTCTTCTTCACTGGTGTTTACATCAGAGAACGTCTTTGGAAAAGAAAAGAAAAATAAAAAAAAAAAATCGAAATTTCTCGATCAATTCCTAAATCTTATCTATTGAACGAAAATAGTTCAAATTACCACGACATCATCACGTCACCGTACCTTGTAGTCTGCTTCATCTATTGGCTGTTGAAACATAACGGTCATGGCTAAACTAGAGGCGCAGTTCAAGATCATTAGTCCAGCGCCCCCTGTCTTTAAAGCTATGTATTATCATGATTGTTTTTTATAATAATTTCATAAACTGAAGTAAAAAAAAAATTAACAAGGTCTCAATACATCATCAGTCACCAGCGGGAATTGAACCGCTGACCTTCTGGATATGAGACCCCCCTGATTTACTGAAGTGACGTGAAACTGTGGGTTGAAGAAACACATGTTTGAAGAAAGTGATATTTAATAATAATCCAGTCAAAAAGTTCCCAGACTTCCTCCCTTTCACCCCGGTATTCTCTGCTTTTCCACCTCCACGGCCACAGCCGCCTGATGTCACCGGCTGATCCAGCCGACGGCCTCCTGACGCCCTGAGCTCCACGCGGAGCCGAGAGACACGCAAAAAAAAAAAAAAACGCAACACAGCAGCCGCGTGTCTGCTGCCGCAGCAGGACAGACGCCGCCTCCACCGGCATTTTCAGCGCAGAACTGTTCTGGGGTTGTTGCCACTAAAATAGCACTCGGTCGCTATCTCACGCCTGCCCGCATGGCCTGAATGGCACGTATCCGTCCCTCCTCCTCCTCCTCCTCCTCCTCCTCCTCCGCCCAGCTGGCAGCGGTTGGAGCACATTCAAGGAGAGCAGCCCAGCACCTCCACCTCTGCCTCTGCCTCCCCCGGCTGCGTCCCCCACTCATGCACAAGGTCGACTTAGCGCTTTAACCCCGCGTGAACGCTGGCAGAGTCGCTGTTACATTTGCACATTTGTACAGCGTCTACAACCAGCAGCAACCGGGGGGAAAAGGACGGAGGCGATGGGAAGGCGGAGGGGAAGGAAAGAGAGGAAAAGCGGGGGTGACTGTGACTGTTCTTCAGGGACATTTCACACCGGACACCGCTGTAACACTGTTACACTGTTACACTGTTACAGCCATTTCCAGAACATGTTGTAGAACCATCCGCCGAGGCTACAGTCTCACTGATCTCTCTCTCTCTCTCTCTCTTTCCATGGCTTATCAACCATTAGCTACAGTCACCAAAAAAAAAATCGATTATTCATCTAATGTACGTGCACCACCGTGAGAAGTCGCTGTCTTTATTTTTCTGCTCAGGATGACGATGATGATGATGATGATGATGATGATGATGGTGCTGATGACCATAATAACGAGGATCCGCTGTGCAAATGTCATGCACATGCATATGCAGGCCGCGCAGGCGCGTGCGCGTTCGCGAGGCCCCGCATTCAAACAGCATAGGCTTCTTCTTACATAACACCGTGGCCTGTGTACCAGCCGTAGCAGAGACGGAGAATCCGCTGGTCGGTTGGCTCAACTCCACTCTGTTTGTCATGTGTGTGTGTGTGTGTGGACTCATCCGTGTGTTTATTTACACACACACACACACGCAGTCTGACAACAGCGAAGCAACGTCACGCAGAATTAGTGTGTGAAACAAACACACATGTAAACATGTCAGAGCTTCACATTCCTCAGCATCAGCAGCAGCTCAAAGGACGCAGGAATTACAAAAAAAAAAGTCCCTGACGACCGACGTTTCCTGTGAGTGTGGGCTTCCACATGTGGGATTCTCCCTGTATTTATATGTAGTACTTGCAAAATATACATGTATGTATGTATACAAATATGCGCGCGTGCACGGGTGTGTGCGCTTGGTGTCTTGATGTCAGTGAGGATGAGCATCAGATGCGACCTGAATGCAGCCCGTGTTCAACATCATCCACAGTCATGTCGCGGGACACATGGGATGCAGCCCATCCTCTTTATCTGGACCTCACGCGGGTATGGGCTACTGACCATGTATCATTACAGTGTGTGTCTGTGTGCGTGTGTGGGAGAGAGAGAAGGCCGTGCAGCAAACTGTCTCCAGCTCTGTCATTCACTCCGGAATAAATCGTGTACTGACAGACAAGTGGCAGAGCAGGCGCTGTGTGACACATAACCTATTTATTGTTGTGCGCGTGCGTGCGTGTGTGTGTGTGAAGCAGATAGAGAGAGCGGTACTTTACATGGATATAGACAGAGTGAGGGAGAGAGAGAGAGAGAGAGAGACGGACTCATCCTGACCATCTCCTCCTCGCTGGGTTCCACGACAGGACTGTCGGCGGCGGCAGCAGCAGATGATCGGAGCGGACGCTGTCGTCGTAGTTGGCTACGTCAGGGTGGAGCAGCATTTAGTGTCCGTGGCCGGTCGAGGATGTTGCTCTCACATTAGTCACCCGCTGTGGTGGATCTCCTTCTGTCGTCTTCTCTCTCTCCACTCCCTTGCCTCTCCTCCCCCTGACCCTATCGCGGCTTCAAGCACCACAGTAAAGAACGAGGAGGGAAAGCCGAACAACAAACTTCCGCTTTCTGGTTTTTCAAAATAAAACACCACATTCAACTATGCGATGAATATCGGTTTGATGTTTTACAGGGCCTTTACTAGACGTTTTCGAAAGAGGGCTCGCGACCTCATGAGGTCCGCGGAGGTACTGCAGGGACTTTTTGAATTACGGAAATAAATTTTTGAAATGAAATTAAATAGATATATTTTTAACGCATTTTAATCAATTGGGAGAATGACAGCCACTTATCTACAGTCACATAGAGTTGATAAACATGCTGTTATTAACACACACTACAGGAAAGTGTACGTTTCACTAAATTACCTAAGGCCTAAAATACCTAATTTCAATGCCCAGCATGTGTATTCAGGTTAGATACTTGGCCTGAGTCAAAAGAGATTGACGTAACTGCCGAAGAGATTTAAATTGTGACAATGATGGAATTATTAATATTGAAAAATGGCAAGAAAAAGTATAAAAGCATAACTCACGATTTAGCTTCATAGAGATGGTGTATTTTAGTCATTACTGTGCATCAAGAAGTAAACTGAATGTGAAATGATTGAATATACAGTGCCCATATCTTTCCCCCATGTATTAAAATAGGTAATAAAATATAATCAGATTTTTAAAATATATTTATTAGAACTAGGTTAAATAAACATTTAACTTTTGTTTTGTTTTTAAAATACTCTTGCATGCTCTTTCCCCAAATTCTTCACATAGGAAGTTGCTGATGAGCTCACGAAGAATTGGTAACAACAGTTGTGTTTACACCAAATGCAACTGAAAAGATCAGGTCACACCCACTAAACGACATATCCCCATGTTTGTTCTTTATAATCCCCTGGAACACGGCTAGAGGGAGCCCGAGTGCCCAAGTGGTAGTCGCACCATAATTAAGGAACAACTGATCCATTTCACTTTTTTTCACATTAGTATCTAGTATTCCGTTATTCTTTCTACTTTTTTTTCTTTACTTTTTTTTTAGTGTAGTATAAACTGTTGTTGTTGCTATTATTTTGACACTATTTACACGCAGTTCCGGTGTGCGGCGGTACGTTATTTTTCTAATTTGACTCCGCTGTCCTCGGCCCTGGCGCGCGGTTGCGCTCTCTCTGTGATACACACACACACACACACACACACACACACACTTTCAGTAACTCGGCACTCCCCACTGTGGTGAATCCTGTAGCGCGATCAGCTGTTCATACACCGCAGAGGTGCAGGGATATCCAGTCCATTATGTGGAAGAAAATTCTGATTCTACCGTCCACTCGCATCTTTGTTTCAAACCTGTTAACAGCAGAGCGACACCAACTTCCGGAGAGAAATTAGGGTTCCTACTAGCCTAAATATCAATTTAGAGTTGAGGGGGGATAAAGAAATAAACGACGAAATTAAAATTCGTCCAATTAATTTGTTCCAACATCGACATATTCAGGGGGGGGAAAACAGTAAACCTGGATTTAACTGCCTTTTATACAAAATAATTACACATTTAAGATCTCAAGTAGCTGCTAGTGATGTGTAATAACGTGATAAAGCTAAACAAAAACGTAGACAAGAATGGCGTTTATCTAATTAGATATTGTCTGTGTGTTTAAGTTGTGGATTAGAGAGAATCCTAGTAATTAAAATTGAAAATAAAAAAAAACACGCCTATAATGAAGGAGGTTATGTGTTTAAGTTGTGGAACAACGATAACAACTGTTGAGGAACATCGATATGTTGAAAAGAAAGAAACAACAAAACAAATTGTGTTTCCAAATGTTGAAAGATGGAGGAACTTCCTGTTGAGGAACATCGATATGTTGAAAAAAGTTATAATCGCGAACTCTTATGCTGCAATACGTAAATACAAGCACTTACTTTGTTTACATTCAGTTACCGTAGGCCGCCATCTTTACGTTTTGACATTCGTCCTGAGAACAGAAGTTCCGATAAACATTTTAAGTCCCGGGAAACCTTGACTTGTTTTGTAGGTTGCTTCTTGAAGATAGCCTTACTATGTCTGACTTAGAAAATATTATATATATGTTTATTTTTGTCAGCGTTATTAGATAGTACAGTAGTTAAGGCAAACAAGGCGCCTTTTTTTGGTTACTCGACGGGCTTCATATTAAACGCAATGGAAAGAGAAAAAAAGAAAAGAAAAATAATTTACAAAAAAATAATAATAATAACTTTTTTTAATAAAACGGAGAAACGTTTTATAATCGCAATTCTAACCATGAAAGAAAAAATAAACATTTTTAGCCTGGATATAAAAATGTTCACGTTAGCAGCTAGCTTCAGTTGCGGTAGCAGTCCGTGACACTAAAAAGTTCGCTTCACTTTGTTAACTTTTCGAACTCTGAGTTCCACTAACTGGCCTGAATGTGTAGATCTCAGATCTCTTCTGTGTTTTTATATATCATTAAACTTTTCATTTAATTCAACCTGGACCTAAATCGTGAAACGTAGGTAAACATAGAGCACCGCTGGCACTGGCCCTGGGGAGGAGTGGGGGGCTGTTTTAGTGTAACACCTTAAGATGTAATCAATGTCCACCCCTGGTGGCCAGATGTGGCTATAGCTGCAGCGGTGCCCTGAAATCATCTGTGGCTGGCACTGCAGCTCCCCTACCGAACATATTAAGATTATAAACAGTATAAAGATCATAAAACAATATCATTTGACATTTTAATCTATAAATTCTCCATTTAAGTCAGAAAATACACATTCTGGTAAGAGATACATGCCGTTCCAGTGTAGCTAACGGCTGGGTTATATGAAGTAAATACATGTATTGAGATTTGTGGTTAAAGCCACACTGACACCCCCGGTACACACAGACTTAGTACAGACCTGTGCGGTTGCTCGAGTGATGACGTTTCAGTCCTGGCTAACGCTCTATTTCGGCTCCCGTGTTTTTTTCCCCCCTGTTCGGTTGACGTCTCAGACCTAAGACGTGATTTTTTTTTCTTTTTCTGTTGCTCATTTACACGGAACTATGGTGTCTCATTTCCGCGGAGGTGGATTTTTGAACGCGGATTCTGTGTGTTTTGGCTGTCGCCCGCGCCTTCTTCTCGTTTCTCCCTGACTGAATGTAGATGTGTTCGCTGCCCCTCGTTTGCTCCGGCGTAAACCCATGTCCGTGTGCGTCCCTCTCTGCCGCGGTCTCGATAGATGGTGCAAGTCAAAATGTCCAAGTCGCCCGTAGAGCCCCTGTCTGCCATGGAAGCCGGTTCTCAGTCGCACTATTTCCAGGTAAATGTCCACACTTGGCTCCGTTATTCTAGCATCCATCACCGCGGGAGGCAGACGGAGAAATCGAACGCTGCCAGTCGGTGTGTTGATATTGATGACATTCAGACGTCGCATTTTGTGTGTGTGTGTCGATATGATTTTATTCTTAATTTTTTTTTTTTTTTTGGCCATTCGTTCTTCACTGAAATTGCAGATTGATTTACTGTAGCGGGAGAAAGCCGTTCAAGCGTTAATGAAGTGGTGCGTTTAAGGAGGCACACGGGAGCAGAGGGCTCAGGATGTGTTTTGTTACTGGAGATCAGGCCTTTAGACTGTAGTGTGTGTTCATCCAATCAAAGATCATAATAATAATTAATATTAGTAGGAGTATTATTACTGTTGTTGTTGTTTCATTAAGTAAAATCAAGGATTTAAAAACCCATAAATGGCCCTTTTTTTCAGCTGATTGATTGACAGTGCAGGGGCCATACAGTGGTGGCGTGGTTAGTGTTCTTGCCTAACAATCATACCATTTGAAACGTTAAACTGATTGTCCCGTCTGTCTGTGGGTGTTCTCTCTGGTACACCAGTTTCTTCACCCATTAGCAGGTTAATTGTTAATTGTCAGGGTTTTGATGGCGTTGGCTTCACGTCACTGTTGTTGTTGTTGTTGTTGTTGTTGTTGTTGTTGTTGTTTATATGTGACATATAATGGTGGTCCCAGTTGTAAAGGTCCGAGACCACGGTGCGGAAAAAGTAAAAGACTTCCTGTGGTTATGATGACCAACAGGTGCAACGATAGAAAAACAGAAGTCTGGAAAGATTTGAATGATTTGACCAGTTTGATGAAGCAACAAACCATATTTTACTGATTTTATTTATCAAGCAGCAACGTAACCTATTGACCTTTCTACTTTCTTTAACTACCATCTACTTTGTTTTAGAGATTCAACAAGTTACATGTTCACCTACCTGTTAACTACCTCATTTCTTACCTCATTACTGCGACCTTTTTTCCTACAAACTTTAAACCTGTAGACTAACAGCACCTCTACCTACCTACCTTTTGGTGAACTGATTCCTGATTCTCTAACCTACCTACTAACCTACCTACTAACCTACCAACCTTAACAGCTACTTGTCTACCTATCCTTATAGACTTAAAGCAAACATGTACTTTTTTACCAACCAAACAGGCTGTCGACCGACCTCACTAACATACGTCCACCGACCTGTTATCTTCCTGTTTGTGTTGTTGTGTGTATTTGGTTGTGTGTATTGTCAGGGTGTAAAGGCAGAACAACTCTGTTCTGTCTACATCACTGTCATTCTCACAGTGTACGTGATGATCAACCTGCTCTAGACACTTGTTGCCCCCTGACATCTTACCCTCCTTCTAATATCTGCCCCTCTGTCGTCACAGCTGCCCAGGAAGTTGCCTAAACGGAAAAGCCGCTTCAAACGCTCAGATGGCAGCACGTCATCGGACACAACGTCCAGTTTCATCAAACGCCAGGTACTGCTCTCTCCGTTGTTTATGTTGTGTTTATTCTGCCTTTTTTTTAACCCACTGCTGTTGCTTATACAAACATGTTTGGAGACGGCGTCCTCCGACATAAAGTCAAGCGTTGAGATACGGTTCTGTTTCTGTTGTTGTTGACCCCCAAACACCAACAAAAACTCTTTGGAGCTCAACAAAATACCTCTGGTTCTGACTGTTATTCTGGTGACACCACTTTAACTGTGAGGTCTCTGCTCACTCACCCACTGGTCAGAGAGCTGCTCTCGGATCAGTTGCAGTTGTTGTTGTGCACACGAGAGGGCAGCAAAACGTTGAGACGCGAGGGTAAGAAAATCCCAGAAGACTCCGTTTTGTAATTAATGTTTTTAGGTCATGCAGAAGAACGAGGTGTTATTTAACAGAGTCTGTCTGAGGAAAAAAAAAAGAATAATTACACCAGATGTAGTTCCTTTATTCTGAAACTGATGGTAAATTATAGGCTATAATAAAGACATGTCAATCATTTACCTTGGTTTCTTAGGAAAACAAATAAGATTCAGTTTTATTGTTAGTATGAAATCATAAAGACCGTCAGATAAGATTGTACTCTGAGTATTGAGTAATACTGCTGTTGTTGGGAGTAAAGTATTGAAAGAATAGAATAGATAAATCTACAGCAGTGGTTCTCAAACTAGGGTACGCATATCACTGGTGGTACTTGGGCTCTCTCTAGTGGACTGTAGGGGGAACTGGGATGAGGATTCACTGAGTTCTTCAATACAGTTGACAAATGTTTTTCTTTTACCAGACCAGTGTTTTCTACTTCACTGTCACTGAGAGAGAAAATAAATAAAACCCAGAAAATAAATCACCAAAAAACCAGACTAATGGATTAGAACAGAGTCAAATCTGTCCAGATCAGTCACGTAGAATAGAATAATATTTGATGAAACAGTATAAATACACATGAAACAAACACACAATGAGTTACTTGATTCTAGTAGTTCATGGGGAAAAAATACTGATAAATACACGTTATACATGTTTTATATGAGAAGAAATTGAATAAAAATAATGGAAATTAGTTGTTCATCACTTTTCCCATTAAAACCGTTCATACCATTTATAAATTCAAATTCACCTGCATTCACAATATATGTAAATATATTTATATATAGCCTTGTGATTATTACTTTATACAACATTTTCTGATCTGTTCATGAGCACATGTGAAATTAATCTATAGATCAGTCTTTCACAGTGAAAAGTACTTTAAAAATGTAATGATAAAAAACTGTGGTTCAGTTTGGGTCTACGTGGACTGGATCAGTAGAACCAGGAGACACAGGTGAGTAGACATCAGTTCCTGGACTCTGAGGACACGACAATGACAAACTCCACAGTCCATGAAAAATATTTATGACCTGAAATATTCACGGTCCTCGCAGGGGCCCCGGGGGCGACGTGATTGGTGGCTTGACCGTTCACACCAACACCTTTTTTGGGTCTGATTTTAATCACCGGCGTCTCCGTGCCCTCAGAGCAGCTGAAATAGGAGCGCGTTCTGATGCAGGATGAGTAAATCTAACACACAGAGAGAGCAGCTCGCTCCTCGTCTGTGATGGGGTGGGGTGTCTGTGCAGGAGCACTGGACTATGACTCATTTCTGCAGCAGGATACAAAAAGCACTGTGCTGCTGCTGCCGCCACCGTAGGTCTATGGGATGTTTGTGTACAGTCGGACGTGAGGCTCTCTGTTCTGCAGCGCTTTGCCTCTCTGCCTGGGGGGGGGATATGTCGGGGGGGAAACCGAGGGAAGGATGTGGCAAATAAATTTAGAAAGTTGACTGGACACGGAATGACGCAAAAGCTGCGTTGGTGGTCGTCGTCCGTGCGTGTGGTGTGATGTGATGGAGTGAGGCAGACGAGGAGAAGGTGTTGCCTCCCAGCGCTGCCCGCTGCTCCAGTGCAGGTCGTCCCTGGTTGGGGGACGGAAGACGGCTCTGTTTGATTGGATTCCTCAGCATGTAGGACACAGAGAGGGAAGGACTGGTGCAGCAGCAGCAGCAGCAGCAGCAGCAGCAGCAGCAGCAGCGACACATTAACTGTGTGAGTAGAAATGTCGCCGAGCACCGACTGCTTCTCTCCACTCCAGGAGAATTTCCTCCCGCTCTGCTCCATCATTTCTCAGCTGCTGTGCTGCAGCTTTTCTTTGTCTCCCTTCCTTCTCTCCCACATCTCTCCTCTGCCCTCACCCTTTCTCCCTCTTCTCAGTGCAGTCATCATCCAGTGTGACGTCTTCACACCTCCCTAAGTCTGGTGATTGATCCGTTTGTCGTGTGTAATATAAGCCCTCTGTAATTTTGCAGTAGCCACACTATCAGTGAGCAATTTATTGAATTATGTGAGAGGAGGAGAGAGAAAAGGGGGGAGAGAGGGAGAGAGCATGCTGCATGGGTAACTTGCTGACATTGAATTATGACTGCACTGTTAATCGAACACTTTTTGAAATTGGATATGTGGCGAAAGGATTTGGAAATCACTGGAGCGTGCAGGTTTTTTTCCTCTAAGGAAAATGTGTTTGATTCTCCTGAATAATATATTCTGCTGTTGTGCAGATTTTTTTTTCTTTCTTTCCTTTCAATTTAAAAGCCAGAGGAATAAGATAGAGCAGAGCGGCATCAATTAACAGGGTTTTAACCAGGGCTGTCAATCAACTTCAATATTCAATGACAGTTCATCGACTGAAGTCAAGTCAGGATTAATCGCATATTTTTTATCTGTTCTAATTGATGTTTAAATTTTAACGTTTCAAATTGAGGACAAATTTGGGCCAGAATGTTCTCATGTTGAGGTGTGGAGGATTTTCCCACAATGCTTTGGTGATTTCTTTACGAATTGATTCACCATGAGTTACGACGAATCCGATAAACTTCAGTCCAGTTGTTGTCCTCAACAATATCATCAGTCCTGATCAATCCATCCGACTGTTGTGTCAGTCAGACTGTCAGTCGTAGACTCACTGACTGTCCTGACCTCAGCCAGGCTGCTCTGGCACAAGCCGGGGCCGCTGACCAGAGGTTGAAGATGATGATGATGATGATGATGGGATTTTAGGTTTGTGTAACAATGGAGCAACAATAAGAGGATGGATGGTGAAATTGTCAGTCTGTGTCAGTCTGTGTCAGTCATTCTTCAGCCAGGACTCTGTCTGTGTTTAACAGACGGACCAACGTCTTTCCAAAGTCTCCGTCTGTTTCCTGTAACAAATGTCGTTGTTTTGAAGGTTTTTGTTCACACTCTGACAGAACAGCTGTGACAATTAGAAATCCCAGCAGCACATGGATTTTCTTTTCTTTTTTTTTACAATTTTTTGACACTTTTCATATCATTTCCTGAACGACTATTGAATAATTTTGGACACTTTTATGTCTGAGTGATCAGGGACGTAGAGAAGACGACACCTCAACACACCTGGAACATAACCTCTAGTTTGGTTAGGACTTTTATTTTGAAAGGTTTTCCAGCTGCTGTTTAGATTCTGGGGGATAAAAGCAGTGGACGTTGAACTGCAGAAAAACCACAAATGTCCAGCGTCGTTCGTCAGAACTGACGTTTTCCTGTTGTTTCTTTTTTCTTTTTTCCCTTTTTATTCCTGCTCAGTCACAACTCACGACTTTGGTTTTTCTTCATTTCTTCATATTTTGAAAAACTCGCAGTGGGACAGTGGTTTGTTCTGTTGCCCTACAATAAACCCATCAGTGGTTTGAGACCAGGCGGTCGGTGACTGTTCTTCACTTTCATCTCACTGTCCAAAAACATGCAGTTTGGGATTCAGTTTATAGACGACTGGTGTGAATGAGTGTGAATATCAGTGTGAACCAATGAGTGAAGTCTAAATTACGGCGTCACCGTTGGATCACCTCGTCCTCACCGGTAACTAACCGAGGCCAGGAATAATCACAGAACAGGAAGGAGCCGAGTTAAATTTAGCAGCAGTGAAACTCTCACTGTCAGGATCTGCAGGAGAACGAGGACCGTGAACCTGCAGCACAGACAACAGTCGGAGAACGTGTGTGTGTGTGTGTGTGTGTGTGTAGCATCATCCTTCATGTACGACAGGTGTGAAAGTCCGTTCTGTTTCCTCCTTCTCCTGCCCTTTGTCTTTCATCTTCAGGGTCATTCCTCCCCCCCCTCACCCCCCTACGTTTCCCTCCCCTCTTCTCTGTAGGAGCAGGACA